ATTTTTGGATATTGAGGCATCTTTGGGGATTCAACATCCTAATGCGAATTATCAGACCTTTTTCAGGAGATAAAATATAACCAATTCATGTTACATGCATCTTATGCATACATTTTAGAGCATCATATCTATCATTTTCTTTCCACGTACATAATTTTTATAACTTTAGAGTCAAGTTCGACTTCAAGACGAAGGATACTCGATTCAAAAGCACCTTTACAGATTGATGTCGGCTGCTTAGCTCAGCAGCAAGAAGTTACACTTTAACCAACTCGACAGATAGAAAGATCGACATTCATTTTCAGATTCGACATTTCCAATATAAATTCTGTCTCGCTTGAGACAGTTTCATTTAATGCAGATGATTATCTCACTTGAGATTGTTTTTTTAAAAGAAATTTCGTCTCTCTTGAGATAGTTTCCCTTGAAACAAAATTTTGTCTCTCTTGAGAAAGTTTCCCTTGAAATAAATTTTGCCTCTTGAGACAGTTTCCCTTGAAACAAAATATTTGAATATGTTTTCTTTGAAACAAATTTCGTCTCCCTTGAGACAGTTTCTTTTGGAACTAAGTTTTGTCTCTCTTGAGACAGTTTCTCTTGAAACAAATTTCGTCTATCTTGAGACAGTTTCCCTTGAAACAAAATCTTTGAATTTATTTCCCCTAAAACAAATTTTGTCTCCCTTGAGACAGTTACTCTTGAAACACAAAATCTTCAAATTTATTTCCCTTAAAACATAATTTTGTTTCCCTTGAGACCGTTTCTCATGAAACAACAGATATCTTTGAGATCGTTTCCCTTGAAACGAATTCTATCTCTTTCAAGACAACTTCTTTTGAAGCATCATCTGAACCGTTACACTCAGCTCAGGCACATACTTGAGATGGTCGAGAAGCATTTCTCAAATCAAAAATAGAATATGCACATCAGATTTGAACATTTGAAGAATTTAAGATCAGAGATCAAAATTTGAAGATTCAAGAATCAAGATTCCAGACAGGCAACTGGAGATCGAGATTTCTCTCCAGAGCCCCAAGATAACATATGTTGCATATGCATTTTAGGCACACCTAAGAGCATTGCATCCATAGCATCACATATATGCATAACTTTTTCAGGTTTTAGCTAGAGTCAATTTCAACTTCGCGGCGAAGGATATTGAACTCAAAGCGACACAATTTGCTCGAGAGTAGATTTCAACTTCACGACGAATGATATCTAGCTAGAAGCCAAACTTCACAATAAAGGGGTCTCCACGGTTTCAACTTCACAGCGAAGGGAATTGTGTCCACCCGTAACATACAATACTTGGATTTCAACTTCACGACGAAGGATATTCAAGTCAAGGCTCAACTTCACAACGAAGGGGCCATCCGCGATTTCAACTCCACGACGGAGGATATCGTGGCACTCGAGACAACACAAGTTCAACTTCACAACGAAGGGACGGCTGGTTGTCAACAAACAACTTCTCAATTTCAGAGCCAATTTCAACTTCACAACGAAGGATATTGGACTTCAGACAATGCAAGTTCAACTTCACGACGAAGGGACCGCTGCTTGTCAACAACAACTTCCCAATTTCAGAGCCAATTTCAACTTCACAACGAAGGATATTAGACTCCAGACAATGCAAGTTCAACTTCACGACGAAGGGACCGCTGCTTGTCAACAACAACTTCCCAATCTCAGAGCCAATTTCAACTTCACAACGAAGAATATTGGACTCCAAACAACGCAAATTCAACTTCACGACAAAGGGACCACTGCTTGTCAATAAAATTTCATTCAGATTCAATTTCAACTTCACAACGAAGGATATTGGACTCGAGACAACACAAGTTCAACTTCACAACGAAGGGACGGCTGGTTGTCAACAAACAATTTCTCGGTTCCAGAGCCAATTTCAACTTCACGACGGAGGATATTGGACTTGGAACAATGCTACTTACTTGGATTTTAACTTCACGACGAATGATATCCAACTCAAAGAAGGATTATATGCCATCAAAATTGTCAAGTTCGACTCCATTCAGCTCGATGACACATCAATCGCACAACTTTTCGATTGCAGTCGAGGTTTTCAAGTCGAGAAGAGGACCTGGGTTAGCCGTGCCTTAGTGACAAGCAACCATTTTCAAACAACATAGCTTAAGTCAAGAAAAAGCTATCTGTCAATGAAGATTTCTGAGTTCGATTCCGATCCAAGGTCTTTAAACCGAGAAGAAGACCGAAGGGTAACGGGAAGCCACGTGCTGATTCAAATTCCGAACTACGGCTTTAATTTCATATCATTTCAAGATGAACTCGACTTCACGATGGAGGAGTCATCCGTAACTCAATTCGACAGGGAGTTATTGAAACATCAGAGTTAATTTTCAACTCCACTGAACGAAAAGTGTGTCTTTTAATCTTTGTCCTATCCCCGTTACACGACTATGGGCAAAGAGGGGCAGCCGTCAACACACATTTTTCGTCCTACTAGGATTCAAACTCCTAAAAATATGATAGAATTTTAGGATTCAAACTCCTAAAAATAGGATAACATTTTGCTAGGATTCAAACTCCTAAAAATAGGATAGAGTTCTACTAAGATTTAAATTCCTAAAGATAGGATCCACAATCACTATAAATAGCCATTGTAACTCACCATTGGAAGACACGATTTACGCACAAAACACAGAGGAAAGCACGAAAAATACAAAGGTAAAGCTATTGTAAACGATTCGAAAAGGAAATAAAAGGTATCATCTTTTTTTTATTTTTTTTATTATTTTTTTTGCATGTGCACGTTATTTTTCTTGAGATTTGGTTCGAATAACCTAAAACGTGGGTTGCGCCGATGACCAAAAAGGGGTGGGGTTTCGAAGTTTCGAACCTAGATCTATTCCCGAGGCATATTCATTTTTTTAAGTATTTAATATTCCCCCAATTACTTCGAAATTTGACCCCTGATTTTTTTTGTTCCAATTTAATCCCTTCATATTTTAATTCATTTTCTTGATTTCGCATTTTTTACCTATTATACTATATTTTATTTGTTATTATTTTCACTAACAATTATATCTATATATTTTTTATATATTATTATTTGTTTCATCCTCTTCTTTTTTATTCGTATATATATATTATGTACATATAACTACATATATGTATTTTAGTGTTTCATTCTAACATCTATTTACGTATATTACCTTTTATCATTATTATATATATTATATTTATTGCTTCATTTTCTTTATGTGTATTTTATTTATTTATATATATTACCTTTTTTATTTTATATTTATACTATTATTTACTATCATTTTTCTATGCTTTATTTATTTATTTATTTATTATTTTATTTCTTTTTATTTTGTCTGAATTTATTTATTTATTTATTTATTTTTTTATATCTAACATGTTTCTCAACTCTTTAAGGGTACATTTTCAATCGAACATAGGTAAGTTTTGGATCGTTATTTTTACCTTTTAATTTAAAATTACAATTTTCTTAATTAAGACAACTGAAAATTACGTAGTACCGAAAGGGCGGTTCAAGGGTGCTAATCCTTCCTTGACCGTAACCGACTCCCGAGCCCGACATATTTCTGGTAAGACGCAGATCAGGTAAGAAATAGGGTATCCGATCAACCCATTTATTTTAAATAAATGATCGGTGACGACTCCAATCCATTTACCTAAGTCGAAGCCCAATTCCGGGGGCCCAACCGAAAAACGGTTGCGACACATGGACTATAATTATGGTATATTTGGCAAGTTTTGGATATAGCACCGAATAGTATAAAGTTCATACATCCCAAGCTATTGGTTGTAATGTGCATAAATCGAAAAGTGCATTAATTGAGAGAAAATAGGGTTACTGACTTCTTGGTCACTGTTTGAACGTGAGGAATCAAAGGCATGAGTCATGTGCTGCCTCCCCCCATGAGTTATATCTATACAGGGACGAATTATTTAATCCCAAAAACAGAGAAACATATCTTAATTTGATAAATATTCAAATTAACATCGATCAAATTATAATTTGACAAAGAACGGGTGACTAAATATAAATATAATATATAAATTTATGCATACGTCATATAAAAACAGCTCATCAATTGCTAAGATTATGCATTTGATTGGACCTAAAAATAATAACAATTTCAATCCATATAATCTGGACATCATGGTCATTCTTAGCATGCCAATTATAAACAACACCCGTTCACATTTCTTCCATTGATAATTGATATATATATATATATATATATTCATTTAACAGTTCATGACTATTGTTAATAATTATATATATATATATATATATATATATATATATATTATAATAATATAGTAATTCGTGTATTCATAATATATTTTGTTTACGGTGAGAGTTCATACAAGAGTAGTGATGGGTATGAGACTCACACTCAATAAGTTTCGATTTAATTTTAAGATGAGATTATTTGTTAAAAATTCGGGTTCGAGACAGACTGAAACAATTTTTTTAAGATAAGATTAAATCAAAAGAGAGTATATAATATTGACTCAAGATAACAATATATTTGATTAATCAAAAACACAATCTGGCCCATGCTCATCACTGCACAAGGGAGACATTATACATAAGATTCTCATTTTATTAAACGTATAAATTCGAGACTTTTAATATTGGATTTTCACATTTAGTCTCGATATGATTATCAAGAATCGAATTAAATCGAACCTCTAAACAAAGAATAAAGTATTTTCAATATTTATTATTTCTATTGGTAAGACTCGAACGATGTCGACTTTTTACCACACTACGCGTTGGATTAACCAAATATTTTTGTTGATTAATTTGAAACATTGAAGACGACTGTTGTGATGTTTGTTTTGTTCCTAAGAAGACACGTTTCATTTGGGCGGTACCGAATCCTCTTGACTGGTCCATTTTTGCCTTTCCTCATCTCTTCTCTTCCTTTTTCATATAAATATGTACACTTAATCCTTCATGCATTAGATGCTTAACTCAAGTTTGGAAATGGCGAAACCTCCTCCTCCTTCAGACAAAAATGGAGGGTTGAAGAAAGGTCCCTGGACTGCAGAAGAAGATCAAATACTGATTGATGATATCCAACAACATGGCCATGGCAAATGGCGTACCCTTCCCAAAAATGCAGGTTTTCTTCTTCTTCTTCTTTATTTCTTTCTCAAGCTCGAATTTGTTTATGTTATTCGGATTCGAGTATGAATAATTTGAGTATTCTGATTGTATTTAATTAGGGTTAAGAAGGTGTGGAAAGAGTTGCCGGCTTCGATGGGCTAATTACTTGAGGCCTGACATCAAGAGGGGCAAGTTCTCAACTGAAGAAGAGGAAACTATAATACAATTGCACAATGTCTTGGGCAACAAGTAATCACGTCTCTCTCTCTCTCTCTCTCTCTCTCTCTATATATATATATATATATATATATATATATATATATATATATATATATATATATATATATAGTGATAAAATAATTTGACCTATAATTTTAAAACTTAGGTGGTCTGCCATTGCTGCTCGGTTGCCAGGAAGAACAGACAACGAGATCAAAAACTATTGGAACACTCACATCAAAAAGAAACTACTGAGAATGGGGATCGATCCCATAACTCATATTCCAAGGCTCGATCTCCTCGAGCTTTCCACACTTTTGAGCTCATCTATTTACACTTCTTACAACCTTAATGACCCCAAAGCTTTGCTTGGAGCAGCATCCATGTCCGACCCCAAGCTCCTAAACTTAGCCGCCATAGCCGTCTTGTCATCGTCCCAAACCAAGACAGCCAGTTTTCAGTCTGCAAGTGATCACTATGAACCCTACCATGGAAACTCGGTTCAGAGTCAACTCCAAGCTGGAACACTGTTTTTACGGCAAAGTTCGAACCGTTTTTCTGCAAATTTGAGTGATGGTTATGATTCGAAGGGTTTTCTGTCGACGGAAAGCTATGGCTACCAAGAGTATGATCCGAACCAGACATGTTTTACGGGAAATATCTCGAATTTGAGCGCTTTTGGATCGGTTTCATCGGTATCAGCGCCTTCTTCGAGCTGGACTCCAGTGAATTTGTCATCGGCGGCGTATGTAAGCAATAATAATGGTGGCAGTGGTGAAGGTGTTGATGGCTATTGTAGTAACATGATGTTTGATGTTCCTAATAGGTTAAATGTTAATGGATGGATGTAATATTTGAAACATATGTTAGGGAAAAGAAAAGAAAAAGAAATATTATTATTCTATTTAACATTCAACATCTTTGAAAAGAATGAAGCTGCTGATCGATTGGTTGCTCTGCGGCGAGGTGCTCCCATCGGTACTAGAGTGTTCATGGAGCCCACAATAGATTTGGCTTCACAACTGCACAAGGATTGGTTTGATTCTAGCTAGAGACTTGATGTTTTTGTCTTATAAAAACAAATTAATTTTTTTTAAAATCATCATATGTTACAAGTCATATCATGATAGTATTAAATGATTTTTTTATAATTTTATTGTTTTTAAATACATTTTTAATCTTTTAAATAAATTTAAAATCTTATTTTATAGAATTAAAATATATAATATTAAAATAATATTTTAAAAAAATATTAAAATTAATTCGTTTAAGTTTAGAAAGATTTAAGTGGTTTAATTCTTTAATTTCAAAATATAAATAATTTAAATTTTCAATTTAGAAGGTCAAAATTTCCGATTCTTCAGCTGGCTAACACGCGTTACCACAGTCAAAGAACCTTCAGCAATAAATATAGCACGTGAGAAACAGATAACACGTGGGATCAAAATTAAAGATCCAGGTAATACGCCGAAAATTTGTTGTCTGTTGCCGGGTTCTCGGGAAACCAGTCAGTCAAAGCTTTTAAACGACAGCTCCAAGTTAAAACGTGAACGCAACTTCAATACATACCCCTTTCCCTCACTTTTCAAAATCAATAGGGAAAATAAACTCAGTGACCAAAAATTTCATATAATATACGATTTTAATCAATTTTTTTCGGACTTGTCAAAATGACCAACAAAATCGCAATGCGATCGTTAATTCGCAACGCGATCTCCATTATCGCAAATTCGCGTTTTATTTCGCGTTGCGATAGTTGAAAATCGCGTTGCGATGGTCTACAGTGTCGTTGCGATTTTCCCAATTCGCAATGCGAATAGGTAAATCGCAACGCGAATTAGGAAAATCGCAATGCGATACTAACTATCGCAATGAGATATTTACTATCGCAATGCGATAATACAAAATCGCAACGAGATACTGACTTTCGCAACGCGATTCTGACTTTCGCAACGCGATAATACATAATCGCAATGCGATTTTCAAAGCGCCATTAGTATCCTGGCCAAGTATTTTATTTTTAAATTCCAAACACGAATATTAATATATTGGAACACTGAACCGTCCACAGTATATCCCGTAATCGCAACTCATAACCTAAAACCTAAAATCACAACTCAGTCCCATCTCCATCTCTCACTCTCTCACCCATCTCCGACGAAATCTGTCCCCATCTCCGGCGAAATCCGTCTATCTCCATCTCTCAGAGCCACCATCACAATCAGAAATGGAAAATCAACCAAATCAACCAACGAGGGTTAGTTTTTTTAATTATTTTATTTTTGAAATTTTTGCATTATTATTAGGTTTTTCATATTGAAATTGATGATAAGTTTACTGGTAATTTCAATAATAGATTAACCATTTCACTTAGATTGCTTATTAAATCAACCGAGAATCGCAATGGTTCCAAATACACTTTGTCAGGCTTTATTTGGGCCTTTAAGGTAAGAATGTTTATATAATGTTTCCAAAATTATAAGTAATTATTTAACAATTAATAATGTTTGTTATTATATTGTTTGTAGATTTGGATATTTGAGGACTTTCCCGCCATGAAGACATATGCAATAAAAACTTCAAATGATATTCCCAGGGCTATTTCCTGGAAGAGGAAACGGACCTTGCAATGGGAAGATTTACTATGGTATACGACAATAAATAATGTAAGTTAACATAAATACTACCATATGTTTATAAACAAGTTATTACTAGTACACGTTTAACTTTGTTTGAGCTTTTATATTGTTAGGAGGCCAACACTCCTCTACAGAGGCTGACACCCACGGAAGTTGAGCTTGCCACTGATTGGTGGCAAGCTAGTAAGCGTTTTTTTGATGGAACGGTTGATGAGCAGCCTCCACTTCGGGAGCAATTACCTCGTCCAGAGCTATCACCTCACCCAGAGCCATCATCTGATCGACCCGACTATACACCTCCACAACGACAGCCATCACCTATTCTGTCATATCATCGAGCCTCTTCTACACCATCACCGCAAGATAGGCGACCGACAAAGATGCCACGACGTTTATCTTCCTGTTCTCCACCTCCACCTCAACGGGATGAGTTAGGGGAGTTACGTGATGAGGTCAATGCCTTGCGTGAGGAGGTCGGTACATTACGCAAAGACGATGGTGCATGGCGTGTTGAGGTGTCTACATTACGCTGTGAGGTAGCCGCTCTACGTGAGATGGTAGCATTGTTGCAGAATGAGGTTCATACTCTACGCAACGAGGTAAGTTTAAGATTTTTCATACTCGTAATTCATTCGGTTGCTGCCAATACTGCTAAACTGTTTTTGTTAGTATTTGTTTTTGGTTTTGTTTTTGTCTTTTGGTTGAAGTAATGCAATCCATTCAAGTTTCAATTTGCAGAAGAATAATAGTTTACTTTCGCAACATGAAAATGACTATCGCAACGCGGAAATGGCTATCGCAATGCGAAATGCAAATCGCAACGACAAAATCGCAATGCGAAATGAAAATCGCAACGACAAAATCGCAATGCGAAATGAAAGTCGCAATGCGATTTGTGTTTCGCGTTGCGATTTCATTTCGCATTGCGATTTTGTCGTTGCTATTTTCATTTCGCATTGCGATTTTGTCGTTGCGATTTGCATTTCGCATTGCGATAGCCATTTCCGCGTTGCGATAGTCATTTTCGCGTTGCGATTTTAAGTTTCGTGTTGCGAAAGTAAACTATTCTTCTTCTGGAATGTTTATATATGTTGTCATTTTAAATGTTTATATAAGTGCTTACTTCTGGAATGTTATCTGAGTATTTTGTGAACTATGATAGAATAATGACTTGGGTGAATACAATGCTAGTTTGAAACATATTTGTATTTGTTTAATATCATGTCTGTTTATTTACTGATTTATGTATTAATTTTTTTTAGCGGCCTGATAAGGTGGATGCTTTACGTCGGGTTTTCCTTGCACGACGGAGTTCACGCATCAGACGGCGTGGACGTGCTATTACGTCTCCGTTCACCCCAATGGTGCGAAGACTCCGCAAGAAGAAGCCCGACTCACCTGTCATCCCTCAAGAGTCCCCTCCAATCGTTCAAGAGGCCCTTATCCTCCCTCAAGAGTCCCCCCCCCACCGTTCAAGAGGCCACTGTCATCGTTGAAGAGGTCCCTCCCACCATTCCAGAGCCCGATTCACATGGGGTAATATATCGAAGTATTGAGAAACCCCCACCGGTTCCGGACATGATGGATGAGAGTTGGCTCTCGTATGAGTTACCGGCTAGTACTCTTCCGGTATCTAAAGTGGAGATGAGACAACTACCGGAAACAATTGTGGATAATACCCTTTGGGCTAAGACCGCAGTTGATTTTTTATCTACATGAGTGGAGCCAAGGGTGTTACACTGACATAAGCAAACTCAACGATGAAATGTTTTTGTTGCTTGATCGGTCTTGGTGGGGTGTGCTATTAGGGGTTGAAGACAGTGGCTATTTCGATGGGGAGGTAAGTCTTATATTTGACTTATATATGATTTTGATTAAATTTTTTAAAAATTAATGTAATTCACTAATATATGTCTTTTTTTTGTAAAACAGCATATCGATGCGTGGGTGTCACGTCTTCTAATAATAAGGAAGCTTAGGGAAAAAAAAATCGCGATATACAATAATGCCGACGGCTTTTCACGCAGTTCACTTGAAGAATCAACAAGATGAATCATTTTCGTTGGGCAACGGACAAGCTAAACTTTATCCTGCATGGTGGGAGGTCGATAAGGTTAGTGTTTATTTTTTAAATTTTTTAAAGGTGTTCATAAATAAGTGCGCAAATAAATGAATTATTACTTATGATTGCAGGTGTTTATCCCTGTTTTGGAACGTCGTCATTGGCTTCTCGTCCAACTTCAGTTCCCATCCCTGAAGATAATAGTATATGACAACATGATAAATTACATATCACTGTCTGATTTGAGAGATATTATCAAGGGATGGAGCTCTCATTTGGCTAAATTCTTGGATGGGATTAATTATTGGACTCATTCTGGACACAAGAAGCCAAAGAAGTTCAATGTCACAGTTGTCAGAGACGAGACCGTGCCATAACAATCGTCAGGAGGCAGAGGGGATTGTGGTCCTCTCGTATGCATGTGTTTGGCGCGTTCGACGACGGGAAGCACAGAGTTTCTACCTCCCACCGATAGAGATAGAGCTGCAGTAGGCTTGTGGTTTCGGCATTATATGGCTAGAGCGATATATTCTAGACGCTGCCTACCTGCATCTGCGTTATAAAAGTATCCATTGTGAATTGGTAAGTCAAATGCAAGTTTTGTTAACATATATACTCCTTTTGGTTTGAAAATGTTTGGTTAAGTACCTATAATTCAATAATTTGTTGTTTATAGGTTTTAGATGTGTAGGAAGTCTTGTTTGAGCAAATGTTTGGTTTTTGCAGGTTAATCCTTAAGTGAGCTGCGTGAAATGGATGTACGGGTGCAAAAGTTGATTCATTGATTCAATAATTGATGAGGAAATAAGAATTATTATTATTTTTTGATTGTTTAATTGATTTGTAAAAAATGATTTGTAAATGTTGATTTGTTTAATTGGTGTGTACATAATTCTTATTTGTGTTTGTTTAATTGATTGAAATGTAATAGTTGATTTGTTGATTTTCAATCTGCATTATGTTGAAGGCAAAACAGACTATCGCAACACGAAACTGACTATCGCAACGAGAAAATCGCAATGCGAAATGAAAATCGCAACAAGAAAATCGCAATGCGATTTTCAAAGTTCGCAATAGGTTTTAGTTTCGCAACACAAATTTTTTGTGTATATATCTACGCATAAGCAACAACTTATAACCTAAATCCCTAAATCGCAACTCATTTCATCTCCATCTATCACTCTCTCCGGCGACATCCGTTCCTACATCCTTCCCCATCCGGTAACAGGTCTTAGTTTCGCAGCTCGTTTGTTTAGTAAATTAATTTACAACCATGAAATCATATAATGTTGATTATGTTTGGATAGATTTGTGTTTTGGAGGGTCATGGGAGAATGTTCATGGTGTTTTACAATATATTCCTTTACCCATGAATCTTCAACTAAAACTGTCATTAAAAAAGTTAACTTATGAAACTCTAATGTTACGTGTTTCAAAGAAATTGAATTTAGAGCCCCTAAGTGGATTTAGTCTATCTTATCAGAGGAATGGTAAAGTTTATTTGTTAACCGACAATGAAGATGTTGAACGATTCATTGCTTACATTAGTGTTTCAAGTGATGATGTTACATTGTATGTTGTTGAACCTAGAAGTAGTATTGTTGGGTCAGTAGCGGGTAGTAATCAACTAAGTTTTTCTCAAAACCCACAACCTTTCTCTAATCCAAATCCCAATCAACTTTCAGCACCAAATTCTGGTTTTCGTATTGACCAATTAGACGATGATGAGCCAACAGAAAAAATTGTGAGTACTAGTCAGTATTTGAAATTTGATATTGGTCAATACCTGGACTTTGATATTGGTCAATACTCGGATTTTGATGATGTTTCAGAAGAAGAAACAGACCCTGCGTGTAATGATTTTGATATTGGTCAATACCCAAATTTTGATGATGAAACAACCGTTGCCGAGGAAGATGTTGTTGATGATAATGAGGAGGAAGTGAAGGTTGTGAATGAACATGTTGAACATCCATTCTGTAATTCATATAATCCTGAAGAAGAAAAAAAAGAAGAAAAAGTCCCCGAAGAAAAGAAAATGCCACGGGAGTATAACTGGAATATGCCAGAATTACTTCAGATACCGGAAGAAGAGTTGGTAAAGAAAGCAGTTGATTGTTACACAAAAGTTATTCGTATCAAGAAAGATGATTGTTTTGATACAAAGGAAGACTTGAAGATAGCTTTGTATACGAAATGTGTGGAAGATGGCTATCAACTAAAAGTTAACAAATCAAGCAAAGATCGTTTCGAAACAAGGTGTATGATTGACAAAAACTGTACGTGGCGTATGATTGCAAAGAGGATAAAAGATTGCGAAATATTTCAAGTTAGGACTTTTATTGATAAACATACATGTTCAAGAACCCAAGTTTTTCCTCACCATAGACAGGCAAACAAAAAGGTGTTGGGTGGTTTTCTGGCTGAGTTAATGTTTTTGAATGGCAGGGTATATCGGGGACATGAAATTATGACTGACATGAATGCTCGGTTCAAGATTAGTATATCATATTCTCAAGCTTGTAGAGCCAAATGTTATGCCTTGGAATTGTTGAGGGGTCGCCAGAAGCATCGTTTGCCCAACTGCTGGCTTATTGTCACAATTTAAAGCTGAAAAATCCTGGGTCGGTAACTCATATCAAAACAGATAGAGATGGACGCTTTGAGTTGCTGTTTATCGCCATTGGTGCTGCGGTTAGTAAATCAATATAATTCTGTTGACTCATTTCTGTTAGTTACATGCATTTCACATTTAAATGATTATATTTATTGTGTATATTATTTTGTAGATTCGTTCGTTTATTACTTGCATGCGCCCAGTTATTATAGTTGACGGAGCACATTTGAAAGGTCGATACCTTTGAGTAAACTTATTAGCAGTAGCCATGGATGCTAACAATGGGATATTGCTAATAGCTTACGGGGTTGGCAAATCTGAAACCTCTGATTCATGGAAATGGTTTATGGGGCATCTTAGGGATTGCATAGGTCCTATTAGCAATCTGACAATCATATTCGATAGGGCAAACTCAATTGACAACGCTGTTAGAAGGTGTTTCCCAGATGATTTTCATGGACTTTGTGGTGTTCATTTGTATAGAAATCTAAAATCAAGGTCTGCTGGTATAAAAAAGCACAAATGGACATACTGGAAGGCTGTAAAAACTTATCGGGAAGTGGATTTCAATAAGCATATAAACTGTTTAAGACGTGTTTTGCCTCAGTGTGCTCAAACACTAGAAGATGTCGGGTTTGAAAGATGGTCAAGAGTACATTAACTTGGAGCAAGATATGGTTTCATGACGTCTAATAGTGCAGAATCAATCAACGCTCTAATTCGTCATTCCCGGAAATTACCCATTACTATGTTAATGGAGTTTTTTCGAGCCTTTATTCAACAGTGGTACTACAAGAAAAGAAACCATGCATGTATTATTTCTTTGAATTCGTAACTTATCATATATTTTACTAAGTATTATTTATTTAAATTTACATGAACATTGGAACATCGTGTTACACCATGGACTGAAAAAAAGATAACGAAACGTGTTGTGAAGTCAACGTTATGGAGAGTTGAACCATGTTCAAACACTTTGTTTGAAGTACTGGATAATAACTTAAATGGGCTTGTCGATCTAAATGCAAGCACGTGTAGTTGTATGAAATGGCAAACATCTGGTTATCCGTGCGGCCATGTTATAAAAGTTGCTCTTCATCTAAACCAAGATGATTCAAGCACATACGCTATGGATTGCTACACTACAGAAGTATATCGACAGACTTATGCCGAGATTGTCTACCCTATTCCACATCCTTCTGAGTGGGACATACCAGATGACTTACAAACAGTTTTGCCACCAGCCATGGACAGAAGGCTACCTGGCCGACCAAAAAGTCACGATCGTATACCGACTAAGGGTGAAGAGAAGAAGAGATCGACATGTAGTCGGTGCAAGGAAAATGGACATACAAGGTTGACATGTGGATCACCAGTGCCATCACAATCATCTTTTTCTCTACCAAAATATGGATCATCATCAAAATCCAAACCTCATATGGTGTCAAGAAAAAGGCAATTAAAATTGCAATCATCTTTAAAATCCCAATCACAACTGGCTTCACCTTTTGGGACTGTTAACTTAGGTGATTTTTAAATGCAAACGTTGTATTATGTAGATTTTATGTGTGAACTTTTAACATTTTCAATTAGGCATGTATTAGTAACTTGAGTTTGAAAATTGCTATGATCTGTTCAGTTGTTATCACTTAATAGGCAATCATCTTAATGTCTATCGCAACGCGGAAATTACTATCGCAATACGAAATGAAAATCACAACGAGAGAATCGCAATGCGAAATGAAAATCGCAACGCGAGTTTCGCAATGCGAAATGAAAATCGCAACGAGGGAATCGCAATGCGAAATGAAAATCGCAACGCGAATTTAATTTCGCGTTGCGATTCTCTCGTTGCGATTTTCATTTCGCATTGCTATAGTACTTTTTTCCTTTAACATAATGCAGATTGAAATCAACAAAATCAACCATTACATTTCAATCAATTAAACAAGCACAAATAAGAATTATGTTAACATCAATTAAACAAATCAACTTTTACAAATCACCTTTTACAAATCAATTAAACAATCAAAAAATAAGCAATAATTCTTAGAGAAATAACACTTCTACTATTGAATCAACTTTTGCAGCCATACATCATTTTCACGCAGCTCACTTCTGAGATTAACCTGCATAAACCAAACATTTGCTCAAACAACACTTTCTACACATCTAAAACCTACAAACAACAAATTATTGAATTCTAGGTACTTAACCAAACATTTTCAAACCACAAGCCTATAAACATACCAATTGTTTATGGACATTTTTATAACGCGGATGCAGGTAGGCAGCGTCTCGTATATATCGATCTAGCCATATAATGTCGAAATCACAAGCCTACTGCAGCTCTATATATCGGTGGGAGGTAGATACTTTATACTTCCTGTGATCAAACGGTCCAACGCCAAGCATACGAGAAAACCACAATCCCCTCTGGGTCCTTTCGTTTTGTTGTGGTGCGGTCTCGTCTCTGCTAACTGTAATATTGAGCTTCTTTGGCTTCTTGTTTCTAGAACGAGTCCAATAATTTATCGCATCCAAGAATTTAGCCAAATAAGAGCTCCATCCCTTAATAATATCTCTTAAATCAGCCAATGATATGTAATTTATCATGCTGTCATATACTATTGCCTTAAGGGATGGGATCTGAAGCTCGACGAGAAGCCAATGGTTACGTTCCAAAACAGGGATAAACACATGCAATCATAAGTAATAATTCATTCATTTGCGCACTTATTTATGAATACATTTAAACTCAATCTAAAATAAACACTAACCTTATCGACCTCCCACCATGCAGGATAAAGTTTAGCTTGTCCATTGCCCAACGCAAATGATTCATCTCGTTGATTCTTCAAGTGAACGGCGTTAAAAGACGTCGGCATAATTGTATATCGTGTATTTCTTTTATTTTCCTTAAGTTTCCTAATTATTAGAAGACGTGACACCCACGCATCGATATGTTGTTTTACAAAAAAAAGACATATATTAGTAACTTACATAAATTTTAAAAAAAAAATCAAATTAAAATATAAGAAAAATATAAGACTTACCCCTCCATCGAAATAGCCATTGTCTTCGACCCCTAATAATACGCCCCACCAAGACCGATCAAGCAACAAATAGATATCATCGTTGAGCTTGCATATGTCAGTGAAACACCCCTGGCTTCGCTCATGTAGATAAAAATCAACTGCGGTCTTAGCCCAAAGGGTGTTATCCAGAATTGTGTCCGGTAGTTGTTTCCTCTCCACTTCAGATATCGGTATGGTACTGGCCGGTAACTCATACGAGAGCCAACTTGAATCCATCATGTCCGGCACGTCAAAGGGTTTCTCAAGAATCCTACATATGACGCCATGTGAATCGGGCTCATGAATGGTGGGAGGGACCTCTTCAACGATGACAGTGGCCTCTTGAACGGTGGGAGGGGACTCTCGAGGAATGATAGGGGCCTCTTCAACGATAGGAGTGGACTCTTGAGGGATGACAGGCGAGTCGGGCTTCTTCTTGCGGTTTCTTCGCACTATTGGGGTATATAGAGACTTAATAGCACGTGCACGCCGTCTGATGCGTGAACTCTGTCGTGCAAGAAAAACCCGACGTAAAGCATCCACCTTATCGGTCCGCTAAATAATTAAATACAAATATCAGTAAATAAACAGACATTATATTTAAACAGTGAAAACAAAGACAAATATATTTTAAACTTTCAACCAAAAGACAAAACAAAGACAAATACTAACTTCACAGTGTTAAAGAATACACAGTTTAGCAGAATTGGCAGCAACCGAATAAATTTACTTCAACCAAAAGACAAAACAAAAAGACAAATAC